GTTATTTTGTTTTTTTAGGTAATTCTTAATAAAGTAAAAAATCAAAGTATGATAAGTTACCTAACTAGACATTGATTAGCTTGAGTTATTTAATTTAAATTTGTTGGTTAAAATTTATAAATGTATCTAATTAATAAATATTTATTATTTAGTTATAATAATTTTTATAGGTATAATTAATTATATTGTATGTAAGATATTAAGAAATTTAATATTTGGAGATTATAAAAAGAAAGTGAATTTCATATTTAAATATTGTAATATTGTTCAATTTAATAATGATAGTATAATTTTTATAGGTATAATTAATTATATTGTATGTAAGATATCAAGAAATTTAATATTTGGAGATTATAAAAAAAAGTGAATTTCATATTTAAATATTGTAATATTGTTCAATTTAATAATGATAGTATAAAATTAATATAATATATTTATTATCATATAAGTGAAAATAAAGAATATGTATTCAAATGGTATAATTTTTTTTATCAAGCATTTTGATACATCATCCTCAAGGGGTATGTTGCTAAAAATGTCATCGGTACTCTTCGAATAAAAGTCAACTGTCATTGGTACTATTCAAATAAACATCAACAACAAGAGTTATGTTATTGAAAATAAGGTGGTGTACTATTCCTTTCACTATTAATAACAAGGACTATATTGTTGATAATAGTTGTACTATTCAATTGTTGAAAATTGAAAATTAGCAACAAGAGTTATGTTGCTAAAAATAGGTTGTACTATTCAAGAGTAATCAATAACAAAACATATGTTGTTGAAAAGTGGGTGGCCACACTTTCTCTTCTATCTTTTAGCAATGGAAGCCATGTTTCTGAAAATATGGTTTCAGCAACATGACTTATGTTGTTAAAAATGAGACTAAGTTCTTGTGCTGAATTGTGGTTATTTTGGTTACCGATTTACCATTAATTTATAGTAACATAAGTTACATTAATAAAATCATATTTTCAGCAATATGGCTTCTATTGCCAAAAATGATGAAAAAATATCACTGGAATCCTTCATCGGATTTCGATAAATATTTTTACCAACATAACGCATGTTGCTTTTTAGCAACGTGTCTTATGTTGCTAAAAAGGCATCATGTCTCAGTAATAAAATGCTTGTTGGTAATGTATCATCCATCAAAGCTTTTCCAACAAAGTTTTTAGCAATGTAGTACAAGAACTATGTTGTTGAGGACTTTCAGCAACATAAGAAACACTTTCAACAATATACCTCCATGTTCTTAAAGATAAGGATTTTAGTAGTTAAATGTAAGTGGATCGCTATTTACATATATATATATATATAGTATTCAAGGAGGCCAATGTGAATGAAGTATATTTTGAAGACTGTTAAGAAAGAGATTGAAATCAAAATACGTATAAATTGACTTAAAAATATGTTAATAATAATAACAATAACAACAACAATGTGCATCCTACACTATTTTTTCTATTATTTCCAAAAAGTAGAAATACGAAATTTTGGGGCATGCATGAAATTAAGCTTGCTATGGCGGAAGCTACTAAACTAAGGGTAAATTCTTGAATAGCGGTTAAATGTACTCTAGGAAAGGCTGGTTTGTATATATGAATAGATAGTTCAATGCTCTAGGACAAGCAGCCTCATGTTTCATCAATTTTAACCAGTAATAATTAGACAAAAAGCAAAATCGAACTAAACAACTGTCTTTTCTGTTTCTGGAAAAATTTTGTCTTATTCATCAATCTTAATAACTTTATTTTATTATAGTCAAATTTAAATATATCGATAGAACAAATCTATACTTTTACGTGTAAGTATACATATACATATCATGTGTACCCCAAGCTATACCTCGAAGTCGTTTTCAAGTACCGGCCCTTACTAATATGAATAATGTGAACTAAAATAAATATTCATTGCCTATATAGAGTGCCGGTCCCATTTTTTCAACATGTATTATATGTGTTTTTGTTTTTTTAAGTGTTTTATAATTCATACTACATTGATTTATAAAATATTAATTTTTAAATTGAAAAGAGCCCTGATAAAAAAATGACTTTTTTTTAATAACTAATTGTTGTGGTACAGTGCGAAATACCTAATTAACTTATATTTTTAACCAAAGATATATCCAACTTTGTGCGTTATTAATTTTTAATCCTACATTATCTATACCTACAAACTTCTATATAAGGCACATTATATCTTTCCCCAAACTAGCAACATTTCTAGCGTTGCACATTTCTGAAGAAAGAGTTCGAAATTCTGTAAAAACAGAAAGCCATGGATTCCCTTCAACCTTTGCCTATGGCCCTCTTCTTCATCATCCCTTTACTCTTTTTATTAGGCCTCATCTCTCGTCTCCGACGAAAACCGTTCCCGCCGGGGCCTAAGGGGCTTCCTATCATAGGCAACATGCTCAGGATGGGCCAGCTAACTCACCGTGGCCTAGCCAAACTCGCTGAGAAATACGGTGGCTTGTTCCACCTCCGCATGGGGTTCGTCCACATGATGGCCGTTTCCAGTCCGGAAATAGCTCAACAGGTGTTACAAGTTCAAGACAACATTTTCTCAAACAGACCAGCCAGCATAGCCATCAGCTACCTTACTTATAATAGAGCTGATATGGCCTTCGCCCACTACGGCCCCTTCTGGAGACAGATGCGGAAGATCTGTGTAATGAAGCTTTTCAGCCGGAAAAGGGCCGAATCGTGGGAGTCCGTGAGGGATGAAGTCGACATCACAGTTAGGTCCGTCGCAGCCAACGCCGGAAACTCCATAAACATCGGCGAGTTGATATTTAACCTTACCAAAAACATCATTTACCGAGCGGCTTTCGGTTCCAGCTCCCACGAGGGCCAAGAAGAGTTCATCAGCATCTTACAGGAGTTCTCCAAACTCTTCGGTGCATTCAACATAGCAGATTTTATCCCATTTCTAGGCTGGGCAGACCCACAAGGGCTCAACCACCGGCTTGTGGCTGCTCGCCACGCCCTGGACAGGTTCATCGATACCATCCTCGACGACCACATACAGAAGAGGAATAAATACAATGGTCCTGACGATGATGGTAACACCGATATGGTAGATGAATTGCTGGCCTTTTATAGCGAAGAAGCCAAAGTAAACGAATCAGACGATCTACAGAACTCAATCAAACTAACCAAAGATAACATCAAGGCTATTATCATGGTATGTATCTTTCTTTATCCACATGCATTTTTTCCACAAACTCAACATAAATGCTTTAATAATAAGCATCGCACATTTTTCTCATTTCCCATTTCCTGCTCAAAGAATAACAATCTTAAGAATAAACCTTAATGCATTAAAAACAATTAAGTTTTTTTAAGTGTTAATTTTACGACTTTAATAAACATTTACTTATAACAACTAACTTGCTAATGCCGTGAAAGTAATTATTTAGACTTTTGAGTGTAGTCGTAGCCTCTACACATGCACACCAACATTAATTTTCAAACTCTAGAATAAGTTGATAGAGATTTTTTTTACCATGTACTGTACTTACTAACAATAAAACAATAAAACAATAAAAATACGTCCAAGCTACGAGGGAGGGAAATAGTGAATAAAATTAAATTAAATTAAAATTTCTTTTTATGGTAAATAAGATGCATTAAAAAACCATAAGAACCGAAGTACAGAAGTTTATTCTCTTGGGTATTTCGTCCCATTGAATAAAATTTTAGCCCTTTATTTATTTATTTTGTTTGTATAATTATAGACAATCCTCTTTCGTCTCTTAACTTATCATACTCGAGTTTCATGTAATTTAAATTCAAAAAAAAATTTTAACAGAAAAACAAAGTATTACTAAATTATTTAAATAATTGATAATAAAATTTTAAAGATAGGAAGATTGATAATAAAAATTTGGTTGCAGGATGTTATGTTTGGTGGGACGGAAACGGTGGCGTCAGCAGTAGAGTGGGCCTTGGCGGAGCTGATGAGAAGCCCAGAGGACCTAAAGAGGGTCCAGCAAGAACTGGCCGAAGTGGTGGGCTTGGACCGCCGCGTCGAAGAGTCCGATTTCGAAAAACTGACATTCTTCAAGTGTACGATCAAAGAGACCCTCAGGCTCCACCCACCGATTCCGCTGCTCCTCCACGAGACGGCGGAGGACGCGGAGGTTGGAGGCTACTACATCCCCGCCAGGTCGCGCGTGATGATCAACGCCTGGGCAATCGGCCGGGACAAGAACTCATGGGAGGATCCCGACACCTTCAAGCCGTCGAGGTTCTTGAAAGAAGGCGTGCCGGATTTTAAAGGGAGCAACTTCGAGTTCATTCCATTCGGTTCGGGGCGGAGGTCATGTCCCGGTATGCAACTCGGGTTGTACGCACTTGAACTGGCGGTGGCTCACTTGCTTCATTGTTTCACGTGGCAGTTGCCGGACGGAATGAAACCAAGCGAACTCGACATGAACGACGTGTTCGGACTCACGGCGCCGCGGGCGACTAGGCTTTTTGCGGTTCCAAGTAAGCGCCTGATTTGTCCGTATTGAGGGAAGGATGAATAACTGAAGGAGAAGGATCAAGAAAAGGAGATTTTGGATTCTATCAGTTGTTGTAGACTACACTTTTTATTCACAGTTCCTAAATTAACTTCACTTTTTTTTTTTTTTTTACTATCGCATGATAAATAATCAAGTATTGTGAGAAAAGAAAAGATATTTTATTTGGATTAAGAATGGAAAATTATAATAGTTTGATTGTATAATTGTTCACTTTCTATGTTATATTTTAAGTTTTTTGGTTTTATAGTTTAGATTTTAAATTGGAGAATAAAGGTCAATAATTTTAGTATTAAAGAACTTATATTTTATTTAATAATTAATATTATATAATTTAAATTGTATAATACTTTTTTTTGATTTAAATACGTTTTAGGCATGGACCACTTTTTTTTTTTTTTTCAATTCATTGAAGTTTTTCAGTTCAAATTGGCTGATGTTTTCCAAATTTTAATAATTGAAGTTTTTCAAATTGGTCGAATGCTTGAAATTTTAATTGTAATATTAATTAATGTAGAGTGAAGGAAGAGAAAATGGTAAAATTGAAATTCATACCTAAATTGGCTGATTTTTCAACCAATTGAAACTCAAATTCATCTTTTGGTTTATTTAAATTTAAAATTTTAAATCAAACATATACAAGGTTATTTTACTAAAACTCATAAATATACAGTTCAAACACATTCCCATTTCTTACCCTTAAATATTGTTCTTTTTTTTTAAGATTTGTTTCAAAATAATTGTTTTTTAAAATTTTTTTAAAATAAATATTAGTTTTATTTTAAATTTATAAAATAAAAAATGGAGAGAGTATATAATTGTTCTTTTTTTTTAAGAAAAAAAAAAGGCCGAAAAACAGAAAACGATAGGCTGGGAATAATGGTTGGTAGGGTGAGATCCACATGTTGTGCACATGCGGGGGAGAGGTGCGCATACGCTGGCATTTATTCTAGGTGTTTTTTTTTTTTTTTTTAAATTAATTTTTTGATATTCAATAATCACATTAAATCTTAATTAATTTAAAATCGAGTCACGTTGGACCTCATTTAGATAAGTTCTCTCAACACCTATTTCTTCATTTATAAAAATAAAATTTAAAATTTTATTTAAAGAAACTAAACTTCTATTACTCAAACTAACAAATTATTAATATTTTTATTCTAAGTGTTGTTACGTGGAGAAGAGAAGTCTTTTCATTTATTTTCATTCCTTAAAAAGTAATTATACTGCCGTTGCCGCTACCTCGGCTCCAACAAATTTTTTTTTTTGGGGGTAAATCTCCAACAAATATTTAATTCAGTATTTTTGTCTTCAATCTCCATAAGCAGATAAACTAGTATGCACATTATAAGTCATGAGTGACCAAACTGTAATAATATATTTTTTAGTAAAAGTGATACGTCATGAGTTGAAATTGCAAAATAACCTATAACTAAAGGATATCATCTCCTTCGTGGACATAATATCCTTAACCCAAAAAAAAAAAGTGTTAAGGGATATTTATGTACTTTAGGGACTTTTTTTTTTTTTTTTTTTAACAATGTGTCATAGGTGAGTTCGAATCTATTCAAAAGAGGTGCATCACAATGTGACTGGAAATCACGTGACCTTAAAGAGCCAAGTGCATACTTTAAAAATGTCTTATTAAAATTAAAAATTTAAATTTTTATAATAAAAATTTTATATTTAAATTCTGATGTTAATGAGAAAATTTTGAACAGATAACGGTTATTTATGTTGTATCACTCACATATAAAAAATTAAGGACAATTATTATTATTATTTAAAATATGAATTGAAGTTTGCTGTTCCTGTTCCCATCTGTGGTAGGTGGATGTACATGGTTGGTGAACACTTGGGATGGTGGCTTATAGATCTCGTGAGATTTTCTCCTTAATTATTAATAAAAATATTATAATTATAATATTATGTAATATTATAAATTTATAATGTAATGTATTATTATATAATGAATTTTTTATTTATTTTATATTATATTATAATTATAAATTAATGATTTTATATTAAATTATAATTATAACATTATGCAATAGTTAATACTAGTACTACTAAGCTTTACTACAGCGGTGCAATCAATATGCTCGGGGAACGTTTGGCACAATCAAGCTGCGGTTTTGATTGAAGATATAAAGAAGCTTATGCAGGCTTTTTCCGCTTGCGTTGTGCAGAATAGGATTCGAGAGGGAAACTATGCTGCTGGCTTCACGGCCTCAATGGGGGCACGCTTTGTGGGTTGGAACAACTTTCTTCCTCCACAACCCTCCAGCAGGGGCCATCTCTGAAATCCTTCTGGGGGACATTTTTGGCATGGCTTTTGTACGCCATTAGTTCTTTGTAATTGTCGTGTTTTAGTTTTGTTCCAACGCATCCAAAAAAAAAAAAAGAGGGTTGAAAAATGGAACAACTGAGATTCGATTAGGTAGCTAGCTTTAAAATCAATTCAAAGCAACCAAAAATAATAATAGCAATAATCCATCGAATCCATGTGCTTACAGCTCTAAGCTATAGTATCTATCTAAAAGATAATCTGACCAATCTTGGAATATCAAGAAAAGGAAATGATGGGAGTTGAGATTGTGAAGTCTAATAATTAATTCTAGACTCTACTATCATATATCAGTGAATTGAATTGGGAACTTAATTTTGTAAACAAATGTATCGTGAAAGTTATAGACATGTATGTCAAAAAGTTTAAAGTCCTGGTTTAGACAAAGAATTCGATGTCAGAAAAATGATTGAGCTTGGACTTTTGATTCTTATCCAAAGTTCATGACTGAAATTAGGTAATGCAATAAACAATCATGCTACTTTAACCGTATATGGCGATATTGATTCATCTTGCCTGGATCGTTTACTTTGTTTCACACCCATAAGCAACGTGAAATGAAATCCTTTGGAAAAATGTTATGATGAGTTTTGTACTAAGCAATAATCTTTGAAAAAAACATTTAAAAAAATAATATGTAGTTCATTACATTTTATA